TCGCCTGCCCCTCGATGCCGTACTTTCCTTACCCGTGAGACAGGATAATGATAGGACCCACCTCCTAGCATTATCGTGAAGATGTATCGTCAAGGACTCGGGATAGTGTCTGGCACGTAGTAAACGAACCACGGGAGCCATTATTATGATTAGGGGGAACACAGAACGATCTCTACTTTCTGACCGCCTGCCTGTACCAGGCAGCCTGGGAGGCACCTTGAGACATGAGCTCAAAGCCTCCCAGCAGTCCCTCAAGGAGGGGTGGTGACGCTCACGAGGAGATGCATTCAGACGTGGGCTAAGTGACTTGTCTAAGGCTGTGTGCCAGTGAGCAGCCAGGCTTGATTCAAAGCCAGGTTTGTTTGCCAGATTCCCAAACCCAGACCCTCCCCACCCCTGCTGGAACTGGGCAGAGGTGCGGCTGCCCGGAGCTTGCTCCGGGTGAGACCATGTCCAGCGCAGCCCTGGAGGGCAGCCAAAAGGACTGGACACGGCCCTGAGGATGAGCCCCACGTTACTGAAATGCTGCACGCGCCCCCTGGTCTGCACGGCTGTCTCCGCCTTGTGATTTCGATCTTGGCTTAAATGCCACCTCCTCAGAGAGTCTCTCTTCTGATGCCTGCCCTGAAGGTCTCCCTCCTCCCTCCCATCCCCTAGGTTGTCTGGTTTGTTTGTGTCAAGGACCAGAGACTCTGGACAGCAGCCTGAATCCCGGGGCTGCCCCTTGCCAGCTGAGTGACACTGGGTGTGTGCTTGACCTCTCCCCACGTCGTTTTCCTCTTCCGTCAAGTGGGGATGTGCAGCCCAGCCTGGCCTCCTCTCTCCAGGGGCCCCTGAGAGGACGCATGAATACGGGGCGGAAAGGTGTTCTGGAATGGTGGAGTGTGGTTCAGAGGTGACAGGATGGCTTTATGAAGTCAGAAGACAGCTCTGGCCCCGGTGAATGCCAAGGGAGTGTGAGCAAGGCCCAGCCACTTGCCCAAAAGGAATACTTTTTCCTTTTAAGGCAATGAGTTAGATATTTATATATTGAATTTTAGGGTCTGATTAAAACCGACCACTGAATGCATTTGTCTGGAAATCAAGTCCCCAGCCTTGCTTTCCAGCCTGTCGTACTTCTCCACACCCCACCTCACTCCACGCTTCTCTGAGCCCTTCTGCAAATGTTCACTGAGCATTTGCTGTGGTGCACCCCTGGCCAGGTGCCGGGAAAACCGTGGTAAGTAAGGAAAAGCAGACCCATTGTGTACCACCACACGCTGATGGCAGGGGAGACAGACAGGAATGGCATGATCAAAGACTTAAGGCTAAAATCTCAACTAGGGAGGCTTGAGGGCCACGGTGCTGGGGGTGTGTGATCAAGTGAGGAAGGTCAATAAAAATGAGCTAAGGTCTGAAAGAAGGGTGAGGAGAAAAGCAATCCAGGCAGAGGGACCATGTGTGGAGGCACCTTGTGCTCAGGAGGAACAGAAAGAACTCTCCCTCCAGCCTACCGCCTGCACTTCCCTCTCCTGGGACACCTTCTCCCTGCATGATTCCATCTCTGCTTCTTCTAAGCATCTCCATTCTGCAAAGCCAAGCTCAAATGCCTCTTCTTCCAGGAAGCCTTCCAGGATTTGCCCTTTTCCCATTCCCTAGGAGGCAATGCTCTCTCCTGCTTGTGATCTCTCTCCCCTCCCCGATACCTCCTTGGGCCCTCATTCATGGCATCTTGTATGTAGATGCTGTGTCCATGTCTCATCTTCCCAACCAGGGCATAGATCGTCAAGGGCAGAAACTGTGTCTTCTGCAGTGTAGACTTGCAGTCCCCTAGCTCTGGGTTTAAATCCTAGTTGAGGCCACTTAGTCGTGGCTCCACCTCTCTGGGTCTCTGTTTCCTCATCTGGCAAAGGGGAATAAGGTGGTGAGGGCGTGGTGTGGCTGCATGGTCCCCAGCTGGGCTCTGACCATCTGAGAAAGAGTCGGTTTGTCAAGGGGCTTGAAACAAAAAGGAAGGAGAAAGGTATTTATGATCCAGAAAGCCTCAGGGCTTTGAGGTCAGACAGGGGCTTAGACCTGAGTTTCCCAAATCTGCCAGATGGTAAGAACTCTTGAGCCACTCGTTAAACATGCAGATTCCCAGGACCCACTTCTGAAATTCTGATTCCACAGGTCTGGGGTGGGGTCCAGGAACCTATGTTCTGGAAAAGCTCTCGTATCATTCTGATGCACAATGTGGTGGAAAAATTGAGGCCCCGAGGGAGGCAGTGATTTCCACGAGTGTGATGGGTTGGATCAGTTTTCTCAGTTTTGCCTCTTGGAACAGGATTATGTACCCACACCCCTTGCCAAGTCACTCTGCAGGGTTCATTTGCTGTGGGTGACTGTGCCACAGGCAGAGGAGAGGCGTGTATTTGTGTGGCATGGCTTGGCATGGATGCTTGCACCCCAAGCATTCACCATGACAGAAACAAGCCTGGGTGGCGGCTGGTTCAAGGGGAATGGGAGACATATGGAACAGACTGAATCCAACCCACATTCTGGAGTCATGCCCAGCCCAGAGAGCCCTGCTGCAGATTAGCTAAACCCTAGCTGCCCCCCAGACGAGCGAGTGAGAAAATAAATATTTATTGTTGTAAACTGCTAAGGTTTGGGTGGTTTTGTTATGCAGCATTATTGTAGCAATAGCTGACTGATACACTGAGGTCACACAGCAAATGAATGGCAAAGCTGGAATTCAAACTTGGGTCTGAATCCAGTGCTTGTTTCTCACTGCTTCTGTCTTTCAATTCTGAGGACCTCCCCCTTTTCCCCCACCCCTGCACCTTCTTTTCTGGAAGCCCTTCACTTCCACTCCATCCCATCTTTGTTCTCTGGGAACTTCCAGCTCCAGAAAGGAAGGGTCCACTTCAAGCAGCCCAGACTCTATTCTTTGCTACTAATAAGCTGAGGCTTCTTGAGTAGATAGTTCCACCCTCAGGGCTCCTGCATGGGTGTAGAGGAGGTCCCTAGAGCCAGGGAAAGAACCCCCACCCCTCTACCCCCTGGAGCCTGTGGGGGGAGTAGGGAGCCTGGGCTTCCCTAACTCAGGGCCTCACAGCTGAGGCTTTCTAATCTGTTAGGTGTCTTTGCCAACAGCTGTTGGCTTTTGAGGGTTCTCTTGGATTGCCTGCCTTGAGTCTACTCCCTCTGGACCCCACTCTGAGCGGGGCTTAAATGCACCTATGACCCTGCAAGAACAGCAGGCCCATGCTCACAACTATGTCTCGGCTACAGCAAATACCACAAACACTCACGAACAAAACCACACTCCTTCTCGTACACAAACACACGGGACAGGCAGGAGCACATTCAGGCATACAAATTCATGCTCAAACACACCCCGTTCCAAGCCCCTCGGATTCAGACACACCCATGCTCATGAATGCATGTATAAATAAGAAGCCACATGGCCACAGAACATGTGATTCCAATCATAAACACATGGTCACCCAAACACATACAGTGACACACCCACACATTCTTATAAATACACTCACTCACATGTACCATCAGACCCATAGTCACACTCGAGTTTCCGTGGACATACCCTGGATTGGGCCCAAGCACTGGAATCTGGTAGACCTAGTTAATTCCTGTCCCTTACCCTTCCTGCTTTGTGACTCAACTTCTCTAAGCATCATCTGTAAAACGGGGACATGGATGCCTCCTATTCAAGGGGGCCAGGGGTATGCAGTGAGGTCATGTATAGACTGTACCCCTCAACCTGGAGCTGGTTGGCTCCTCTCTTTCCATATTCTTGTTCATGCCCTTCCTCACTCTCAAAAGACATTTCTATCACTCCCTTAAACATTTTATTAGTCCTTTAAACTGCAGGCCAAATCCCACCTCCTCCAGTAAGCCTTCCTAGACCTCCATCTCTGGATCCCCTGAGCACTTACTGTGTGGGCCCCATTTGACATTCAAAAGATAAGGTGGGTAGCCCACTCACTTTCTCTCCTGGGGCCTGGCCTCCCTTGGCTCTTCCTTGGACAGGGCCCAGACCATGCTCTCAATAAAGGCTTGGCAAGGGTTGTTGAGTGAATAACTGAGGGCCACACTCACAGTTTTCAATCCACAGGTACCATGTGGTCCTTGAAAATCTCATGTGGTCCTTGGTTGGGGGATGAGGCTGGGAAGTGTCACAGGTGACCCAGGGGACAGTGGTCTCAGTGGAGAGAAGGGGCCAGAAGCCTAAGAGGAGTGGACTGAAGAGGGAATGGCGATAGTAGTGAGACTGCAACGTTTGACAACTCTTTTTGCCACGAAAGAAGCAGGGCAGAAGATGGAGGGTGACGTGGGGTCCCAGAAACGATTATGCAAGGTGAGCAGAGGGAGAAAAGCTTGCTGGAGCTGGACTGAGGTGGGCTGAAGGCTCCCAGGAGGTGCCTGTGGAAACTGCTAGATATCCACTGGCTGTCTCCCCACCGCCCACTGGGAAAGGATCACATCGCCCAGCCTCCTTTGGGGCTTGGTGAGGCCATGTGACCAGGTTCTTTCCAGGGGCCCGTGCCCAGAAGGGATGGGCTCCACTCCTGCCTCCCTGGGTCCATCTCTCTCCCACCCTTCCTGCAGACAGGCACACCTGTGCCTCAGCTTCCACCACGCACACAGGCGGGGAGCGTGGGGCTTGCTAACGCCCACGGAAGAGCCCGGGTCCCCGAATCTCCAAGTGGATCGGACCTACCCACGAGCCTGGACTGCTCACCCCTGGGCTCTTCCCTGAGAGAGGCCACCAAACACCGGGCCTTTTTGTTAGAGTAGCTGCACGCTTACCTTCAAGAGCACACGTTCACCAAACAACAGCAATTATCATAAACACCACGGCAACGGAGAGGTGACGCGTACTCTCCCAGAGGAGTTCGGGCTTCGAGAAGCGGAAGCCACTCCACAGAGGGGAGGGATGCTCGGAGCGGGGCCGGCAGGGTTCCCGTTCGGGTTCCCGGCCCTGCTCCCCCGGAGCGGGCATCTCAAGTGCTTACCCGCCTGGTTGGTGGTGATGTTCACGGAGGCGAACTGAGGGGAGAAGGGGCTCTGGTCGGTGACGCCGTTCACCGCCTGGATCTCGAAGGTGTACTGCGTGTGGGCCAGCAGGTCGCTGACGTAAATGCGCGGCTCGGTCAGGCCCAGCTGGCGGGGCGCATACTGCACGTTGTCCCCGCAGCGGGTGCAAGCGCCCCGGCCCGAGCCACAGCTCTTGCAGATGATGTTGTAGACCAGGTCCTCGCGGCCCCCTGAATCGCGGGGCGGGGTCCACTCCAGCATGAGCGAGGTCTCGTTGACGCTGGAGATCACCGCCTGGGGCGCCGAGGGGATGGCTGAAGGTGGGGAGAGGTGTCGGTCAGTGGGGGCTGCGGAGGTACATTCCCAAGAGATGGCTCTCCGCCCGCTGCCCTGGCTCCAGCCCAGGCCCCCAAAGGCTTCCTTCAAATCCCTTCTCCCCTCCATCCCCCTGAGAGATGCTTCTAGAATATAACTCTCCTCTTGCTGCACATCTGCTTAACGCTTTCCCCCTGGACTCCCACCTCCTCGGTGTTTGTTACTAGGGCCGGTCTTTGTGTGTTGGGGATCATACCCACCTGGTATCTCTTTCCCCTTCTTCCTTCTAACAGAACCCAATTTTATTCAGGGTGGTAAGATGTCCAGCTAGGAGACTAATTTCCTAGGCTCCTATGATGAAGGGCTGGCCATTGATATACTGCAGAAGTTGTTGGTCAGGACTTTTTCTTAAAAGGACACCACCGTAAAATGTCCCTTTGTCCCTTTCCTTCTTCCTCTGTCTAGAATGTGTGTGATGGCTGGAGCTTCAGCAGCAATGCAGGACTGTGAAGTGACCCAAAGGATAGAAACCACACACTGAGGATGGCAGCCCAGAAAGAGTGAGCCAGGTCCCAGAGAACCCCATGGATTTGCCGTAGTATCCCAGGACTGCCTATCTTCGGGGTTCTGCTATGTGAGAGAATAGAGTCCTACGGTTTAAGCCACTGGGGTCAGCTCCCTGTTGCTTGCAGCTGAATTCCATTCCTGTCTAAACAGGAGATGGTAAGATTGCCCTCCTAGTCACTCCTTTCTTAGAGAACCTTGGCCTGAGATTCAGGCGGCCGCTGCCAGGTTAGAACACTGGGCAGGCTTTTCTGTCACACCTGTGTTGGTTCTCCTTCTGCCAAGCCTCCCATTCACCATCCCTTTGTGAATTGAGACCTTGACTTTATCCTCCATGTGACTGGCAGGAGGAGGTACGGAGCCAGATGTCAGCTCCACGGTTGCTGCGCGTTGGCAGGGCAGCGACCCCAGGAACGGCCCTTTTCCAACCAGTTTTTCATTACCCCTCCCACCAGGTGATGGGCCGCTCCCCACTCAAGAAAGGCTGGCTGGAGCCGAGCTTTCTGCAGGGGGACTCAGGATGCAGTGGGCCATCGCCCTCCAGGGGCCCCGAGCGTACTTGTGCAGGGCATGTCGAGGGGGTCCAGGTCTGCTCTGTAGTAGCCGTTGCGGCAGACACAGTTGGTCGCCCCTTCTGAGGTGGTCCGGCTGTTGATAGGACAGTGCGTGCAGGCCTCGTCCCCTTGGTTGGCCTTGAAGGTTCCAGATGGGCAACCTGGGAGAGAAGACAAGGAGAGTCGCTGGGGAAACCAGATCAGGACTCAGGGCCACAAGGCATGGGGAGACCAGGTAGTCTCCTGGAGGGGCCATGAAGGGCAACTGTTGGGAAATCCCGTCTCCTAAGGCTCTTGGGGGTCTCCAGGCTCCAACAAGGCAGTCCTATCTGTGCTCAGAAGGTTCCAGGCTACCTGGTTTCTTGTCTCTGAAGCTGTCTATGGGTTCAGCGGGATCCCTAGCAATCCCTCTTCACCTTTTCCAGGTTGGCTGTGGCACCGCTTCTAGGGTGAATCCTGACTTACTCTGAAGACTCTGAAGAGGTCTGGGGCAGGACCCAGGGCCCAGTCTTGCTCACTGATGGCTGGCTGAGCCCTAATTCTTGTAACTAGATTCCTGGCTTCCAGAGGATTGTGATGATTACGTTACAGCAGGAAAGTCCTAGCACAGTGCAGGCCACATAGAAATGCGATGTTATAGAGCAGAAAAGAACACGGTCTTTGGAAGTAGACAGACCTGGGTTTGAGTCCCAGCTTGGCCTTGTGCTAGCCGTGGGGCCGTAGACAAGTGGCTTAACCAGGCCGAGACTCAGTTTCCTTATTTGTAAAATTATGATCCTAAGACCCATTTCTGAAGGCCACTGGGGGAGTTTGGTCCAGTGTGTAAGGCACATGGCAGGAGGCCTTGCACAGTATAAGGTGCCCAAGGAATAGTAGCTGTTAATTACAGTAGGTGTTGGATCAATTTATTTCACCAAAGGGAGCCTGCAGTACCAGGGACAGCCTGAGGAGGGAAGTGTTTGCACTGGATGGGCATTCAGCAATCTGGGACCTTCCAGGGGCTTTGGCCTTCTTCCCTGCTCTGGGAGGATGCTCAGGACGTAGGTTCAGGCCCTGCAGCTCAGGGCTTAGGTTCTACAAGCAAGGACCACTCCTGTGTGGACCTGTGTGCAAATCCACCCTACCCTAGCCCGGGGCTGGGCATCAGGAGGCCTGGGGTCCAGGCCCTGCCCTTTTCCTGGCCTCAGTTTCTTCTGCTGCTTACTGGGGTTCATCATCCCAGCTCTGCTGTGGAGCCTGTGGAGGAGAGATCACGTAAGGGGTAAGTGAGAAGGTGGACAGGGACGCGCTTTGCAACGGGCAAGTTCCTCGTTGGGGTGAAAGGCGGCTAAACCACATACAGGCCAGGGCGGTTCACCTGGATCACATTCCAGGCCTGTGCGCTCTGTCACCTCTGGCAAGCCACATCACCCCTCGGAGCGTCTGTCTTCTCACATGTAAATGGCTAACATCAGTTTCCCTAAATCATTTTTCCAGCCCCAGCCTTCCAGCTTATCCTCCGTGTTCAAATCTTAGCAAACTGCCCTCCCCTCAACCCCTCAACGAGCTCCAGCCTCAGAGGCACCCCTGCCCCTGGTGCTTAAATTACTCGAGTTCAGAAAGTTTACTCCCCTGCCACAATTATTCATCAAGGGGTCCCCTGGCCATGCTCTTGGCTCCCTCAGGATGGGAGCCACGTCTGTTCATGGCTCCTTCCCCTGTGCCGAGCACAGAACCCGGCACTCAGCAGATGCTCCATACATACATCTTGAAGTTGCCTGCTAAAGTGGGAAGGGCTTGGGCTTTGGGGATCATGTGAACAGAAAGGCAGTGAAGAATGGTGGTTAGTGTGCAGGCTGCTTGGCAAATCCCCAATCTGCCTGTGCCAGCAGTGTGACCTCGGGCCAGTCACTGAAGCTATTTCCTTATCTGCAGAATGGGCACAAGAGTATCTACCTCCTACAATTGTTGCAAGGATTACATTGGTTAAATTGGGGCAAAAATACCTAGAACAGTTCCTGGCATTACTGAACTGTATCTGGTTCAAACACCAATCTGCTGGGTGACCTCAGACAAGTAGTTCAACCTCTCTGAGCTGAAGTTTTCTTATTGGGATGAGAGCATCTACCCCATAAAGTGGCCATGGGGACCCCATGCGATGGACAGTGTCTGGCGGGAGGCAGGGGAAGAGGTTGTAGTTACAACTCAGGGCTTGCTGGATAAAACAAGCACTCAGTGTATACGCCCCAGACAATTCTCCCTGGGATGCTAGAAAACAGCACCCTCCCCCTGGGGCCCTAGTTTACCTGCCTTTTGGAGGGGGCTTCCAGAAGGTGGCAGCCAACTTAATAAAGACACTGACTGATGCCACCCTGACCAGGCCCCATGGGGATCTCGAGTCCAGCTCCAGTCCAGTCTTTAAGGAACTATAGGCAAGAGCAGAGTCAGGACTTTGATAGAACCACCCAGGGTCTCGTGACTCCAAGGAGGATGATGAGTGCTCTGGGGGTTATTAAGTCTTTCACTGGACAGATGGGGAAACCAGGGCTTCAGAGTGTAAATATGAAACATCCAACATTTATTGAGTTCGTATGAAATCCTGGCACCGTCCTAAGGATTTAACCCATAGTAACTCATCCAGTCCTTACCCAGCCCTGTGATGGAGGGAAGGTTATCACTCCCATTTTCAGATGGAGGCGTGAAGGCACAGAGATGGGAGTCAGTTGCTAGGATGTGAGCTTACAGCGGCTCGGTCTCAGGTGGTCTGACTCTAGAGGCTTCCCTAACCACCACACACACTACCCTGTGCAACCTGCGTTCTTGTCAATGGTCCATGAGCGCTGAGCGGGGATTGGCAGCTCTAGTTCTGGGGGCCTGCCCAGGGCTCTCGCCACTTTGCTCCACTGGTTTTGGGGTCCTGAGTGCTCCTGTCCTCTGCTGGCTGGCTGAAGAGGCAGCCCACTGTCTTGGCACGATCCAGTCAAGACATGCAGCCCGCAGCTCTGGCTCAAGTTAAGCAGATGACGTCTCTGAGCCTCAGTTTGCTCTCCTGTAGAATGGGGGTACAGGGCTCCTGTGGGGATCTAGGATCATCCTAATAGATGCCAAAAGGTTTTGTTCCTAAGATCGGGACCCTCCTGGCTCCCTTTCAGGCAAGAGCCTGTCCAGCTTAGCACATCTCTTCCATCTGCTGGCAATTCCCTGGGCCCAGCTGGTGGGTGGCTGCCTACTCTCCCCTCCAGCCCCTCCATCTGGGCCGCCTTCCTGGCTGTCCTCTCTTGTCACCATGTCCTGGCCCCATCTCAGACTCCCCGGGCTGCCTCCTCCAAAAGCCTTCCTGCAGTAGGTGTGCTGCCCGGGCACCCCTCCACCTTCCCACTGGGCATCTGTGGTTTCTCTATCTATCAGCCGGTGCTTCACCAAACCTGTTCTTTCATCTGGGAAGGTGACATCACTCTCCACCCAGTCACAGGAACTCTGGATGCCTCCTCCCTACCCTCAGCCCCTGCTGCCAATTACCAGGTCTCCCCCCCGCCACGCCCGTAGCAGTGCCCCATCCTGGCTCTTCTCTGCAGCTGTTCTACCCCTGCGGGCATCCAGAAAGCTCTTCCTACCGACTCCTTAGCCTCGCGTGGCCATCTGGCCTCCTCCTGCCCACCCCTACCCCCCCACCCAGCTTTCTAAAGTCCACACTTTCTGTGTCACTTAAAAACCCACAATGGCACACAACGGAATATTATTCGGCCATAAAAAGGAATAAAGTTCGGATACACACCACAACATGGATGAACCTTGACGACATTGTGCTTATGAAAGAAGCCAGGCACAAAAGGCTACATAGTGTGTGCTTCCATTTATAGAAAAGTGTCCAGAATAGCCATCTATAGAGATAGAAGTAGATTAGTGGTTGCCAAGGACTGGGGAGAGCAGAGAATGGGGAGTGACTGCTAATGGGGAATAGGGTTTCTTTTTGAGGTGATGAACGTGTTCTAAAATTGGTTGTGGGGATGGCTGCACAATTCTGTGCATACGCTAAAAATCACCGGATTGTACGACTTAAATAGCTGAATTCTACAGCATGTGAATGATGTCACAATAAAACTGCAATTAAAAAAATCTGCAATAGCTCCCCAAACTCCTCAAGGCCCCCAGAACCCCAGGGTGGGCACCTGCCCATCTCTCAGCCCCCACCACCCCAAGCCTCGTTTCCCCCTGCTCCACACAGTCAACCATGTATGGTGCCCACCCCAGGCCCACCTCCACACCTCTGGCCTCTGCACGTCCTGCCCTCACTCCCTGCAATGCCCTCCCATTGTTATCAAACTCCTACAACCCTTTAAGACTTGGTGGCAGGTACCACCTCTTCCCAGAAGCCTTTCCTAAGTCACCACTCAGGGGCGAGGTGCCTATTTTAATTCCTTACTCATGAATGTGTAAGTGCCTGGCTGGACTGTCAACTCCCAGTAAGATGCCGGGTACCCAGTGGGTGATGGAGGGATGACGTGATGAGCTGGAAGGGCATCCAGCTCAACCACCTTGTGTGACACTTGAGGGAATGGAGGCACAGAGAGGAGCAGGCCTACGTGGCTCTTCGGCAGCAGAGGCAGATTCTGATCCCAGGTGTCCTGTGTAACTGTGGGGTATAAGGGGCCTCGGCTCCGGTCGGCCACCTCTCGGCCCACAGAGAGATCTGGAACAGCTGCCTGCCCTCAGTACCCAGTGCGCCAGGGGCCGTGCTGCTCTGTTTCTCACCTGGGAGGGCATCTAGTCCTGCCAACGTGTGGGTTTCAGGCACAGAACTGGGAAGTAACAGACATGCAAGGTGTGGGTGCGGTCAGAGTCTCTGAGTGGGTCTCCCTGCCCCACTTTGGCCTCCCCGCTAATCCCCCACAGTCGCTGGGGAGATCTGATTAGCATGAATCGGACCCACCACACTCTGCTTATTTTAAACTCACCCGGGGCTCCCTGAGGCACTGAGGACTACCCCACCCCCCAGCCCTGGCCCATAAGGCCCGCCAGACTGGCTCTGTGGTCTTCCTGTCACTACTGGACGCTCCCCTGGCTCAACTGTGCTCCAGCCCCACGGTGGGCAAGCGGTGTCCCTGCTTCCCATGGCTGATCTTCTTCCTTTAGGCCCCCACTTAAACGTCACCTCCTAGAGAGGCCCTCCCTGACCACCCTG